CAGGGCGGAGCACGGACGACGGTGTTACCTTCCGCCACACCAGAGGTGCCCCTGGCCTGGGGGTGCCGCTGCGCTCGATCCCGGGAGGAGGTTTTCGGTACTTTGAATAATCCCCTTTTGCCGCTTTTCCCTCCCCCACAACCAGTCTCAGTCCCAAAATGGCGCCGACCCGATCCGCAATGTTCTGGGTCAAGTCTCGCGAGATCGTGGAAGGTGGCGAGGCGGGGAAGGAACTGGAGGGGTTGAAGAGAAGGGAGGGAAAAGGCGGGGCGAGAAGAAGGAGGAGGGAGAAAGGGTGTGGAAGAAGCGGTGCGAACGAACCTACTGGGCGGGGCAGCAGGGGGAGCGCCTCCACCAGAGAACCTTCTGGCCCAAGCAACCGCTCACGCCCCAGCCGAAGAAGCTCCGCCCTCTACGTCGGGCGGCTGGGGGGAGGGGAATAGGGCGTGGCTACGTCTGGAGGCGGGGCGTCGAGGAAGCCCCGGAGGTAGGGGCGCGTGGGGGGCGGCGGCTCCGCGCAGTGACGTCAAAAGCAGCTGGAGTCGGGGATTACCCCCTGCTGCTGACGTGAGGACGGTGAACAATCGGGAACGTTCGGTGGAAGGGGGAATTCCCCGCCGCTCCCTCAGGAGCCCCTCCTCCCGAGCCCCCCCACCCCCGCCGCCCGGGGCCGCCCAGGAGCCTGTGATGGTGGGGCCTCCAAGAGGGTGAGAGGAGAAGGCTGAACCGGGAAGCGGCCGCGCGAGCTGGCGTGGCGCGCGCAACGGCGTCTTCCCGGGCTAGACGCTCGGAGGAGCCGCGGCGCGCGCCCCTCGCCGGGTACCGCGCTCGGCCCTGGGCGGAAGGGAGATCACATGATCGCCTGTACACAGTCCTACGCGGGCGGAACGCTGGCGGTGCAGGCACAGGGCTAATTGGGCGCCCTGAAGCAATGGATCCATCATGGTATGCAAATAGGAGTGTGTCAGACGTAAACATTTGTTCAGGAGTCCAGTGGCTGAAGAGAGGACTAACTCGGTGGGTACTAAGCTCAGATTCTCGAAGGGTAAAAATGGCTACTAGACGTAATCGTGCCAATCACTTTTCTTTCTGCTAAACCTACATGAGGTGAGAGTTATTTCAACACTGTCTACGGCCGACACACCCCAACACAATTTTTTAAATGAATTTGATGGTATTCACAGTTATCTAATTGCGATGCTTTCTCGCTTTGTAACAGGAGGCTTACTTTGAAACCTGTGAGGTTAGCTTTGTAAGAAGACTAAAAGTAATCACATGTGCTTAAGGGAAAATGTTGGGGGAGGTGTCTCAACCAGAGAAAATCCGGTAAATAAAAAGTCTTTGGCTCTCCGCCCTCCCCCAAGCCACAAAGCCTACGTACACAGAAACTGTATGGTCCTTTTACATGCATTATGGGATTTGTAGTTTAATGGACTGCTTCTAAAAGCTTCCTGAAACAATGTTTGAATGTAAACTCAACAAAAATTATCTCTCTCCACCTTTTAGTTTAGTCTATATCGGGGAAATAGGCCCTTTCGGCAATTAATAGCTCGCCGAGAGCGAAGAAAACACCATTAACAAATGCTGGATGCCTTACCTGTGCCAGGCACTTTGTCTTTATACCAATTTACGTTATGGGTGTTATTTGCCACGTTTTGCAGTTGAGGAAAACTGGTTCAGGTTAAGTAATGAGTTACTTGGAAGCTGAGCACCACCAGCTTGGCTGTACATCTTAAATTTGCCAAAGTCTTAATCCGCATTCTTTACACGACCCCACACTGCTTCAGTATAAGTAATTTAAGTACAAAGATGGGACCTGGTTCTGTTTCTTAGCATAATGTCAGTTCAAGAAACAAAAGCGGGGCACCTGAGTCGCTTAGTCGTTAAGTATGGGCTCTTGAGTTCCGTTCAGGCCGTGATCTCACGGTCTGTGAGTTCCAGCCACTAGTGGGGCATCATACTGAGCGTGGAGCCCGATTGGGGTATCCTCTCCCTCCCTCCCTCCCTCCCTCTCTCTCTCTCTCTCTCTCTCTCTCTCTCAAAACAAACTAAAAAACAGAAACAGAAAAAAATTGTAAAAAGAACACCCACAAATTGCCTGTCCTGTGGCACAAAGACATAAAGCTGAAAAATGGAGAAAAAATTGTGACATTTACGACAAACTGCTTTTATATTTATTTGTACATTCACAGTCACTATCCTTAATATCTGATAGTTATATCTACATATCAAAAGCTGTTACAAATCCTGAAAGAAAACTATACTAACTCGTAGAAAGGCAAAGGACAAAACAAGCTAGTAATGTATCAGATATTTTAAGAAAAGTTTAGGGGCGCCTGGGTGGCTCAGTCAGTTAAGCGTCTGACTTCGCTCAGGTCATGGTCCCCGGGTTGGTGGGTTGGAGCCCCACGTCTGGCTCTGTGCTGACAGCTAGCTCAGAGCCTGCAGCCTGCTTCAGGTTCTGTGTCTCCCTCTGTCTCTGACCCTCCCCTGCGCACGCTGTCTCTCTCTCTCCCTCTCTCTCTCTCTCTCTCTCTCTCTCTCTCAGAAATAAAAACATTAAAAAAAATTTTTTTTTTAAAGTTTGCAGCTCAGAGCCCGGAGCCTGCTTGGGATTCTGTGTTTCCCTTTTTCTGCACCTCTTCCACTCGCACTCTCTTTCTTTTTCACTCTCTCTCTCAAAAATAAATGTTAAAAAAATTGTTTCTTAAAGAAAAGATACCCTACCTCACTAGAAATCATTTTAAAAAATGAAAATAAAACTAACTGAGCTACTATTCACCTGTTAGATTGGCAATGAGCTACTATTCACCTGTTAGATTGGCAATGATTTTAAAAGAATAAAACCTAGATAAGAGTATAAGGAATAGATAACCATAATTGCATTAACCATATCAAGAATCAAAATCAATACAGTATTTCTGGAAGATAGTTTGGCTTTCATTTAAAAATATTTTTTTTAATGTTTATTTATTTCTGAGAGAGAAAGACATACACAAAGCATGAGTGGGGAAGGGGCAGAGAGAGAGAGACACACAGAATCTGAAGCAGGCTCCAGGCTCTGAGCTGTCAGCACGGAGCCCAACACGGGGCCCCAACTCATAAACTCAGGGCTGGAACTAACAGTCTGAGATCATGCACTGAGCTGAAGTTGAATGCTCAACCTACTGAGCCACCCAGGCGCCCCCACCCAAAATAAATTATTTTTAAGATTCACTTTGCCCTGTGCTGACAGCTAAGAGCCTGGAGCCTGCTTCAGATTCTGTGTGTGTCTCTCTCTCTGCCTCTCCCCAGCTTTTGCTCTCTCTCTTTCTCTCTCTCTCTCTCTCTCTCTCACACACACACACACACACACAAATGAATAAACATTAACAATTTTTTTCCAATTTTTTAATTATACTTTATTGTCAAGTTAGTTTCCATATAACACCCAGTGCTCATCCAAACAAGTGCTCTCCTCCATGCCCATTGACCATGGTCCCCTCTTCCCCACACCCCCATCAACTCTCAGTTTGTTCTCAATATTTAAGAGTCTCTTATGTTTTGCCTCCCTCCCTCTCCTTAACTATTTTTTCCCCTTCCCCTCCCCTATGGCCCTCTGTTAAGTTTCTCCTGTTCCACATATGAGTGAAAACATGGTATCTGTCCTTCTCTGCCTGATTTATTTCACTTAGCATAATACCCTTGAGTTCCATCCACGTTGCTACAAATGGCCAGATTTCATTTTTTCTCATTGCAATATAGTATTCCATTGTATATATAAACTACATCTTCTTGATCCATTTGTCAGTTGATTAAGCATTAAAAAATTTTTAAGAAAAGATACCCTTTACCCAGCTATTCTACATCTTAGAATCAATTTTAATATAATGGGAAAGGTATCCAACAATTTGTAAAGATATTCAGTGATAGATTGCTTATAACTACAAAAAAATTGGAAACAATCTAAATTTCTATAAGTGAAGAGGCTGAGTAAATAAGCTATGGTACACACAACCATGTATAGAATACGAAGGCATTAAAAAGGATAATGTAGGGCCACCTGAATGGCTCAGTCAGTAGAGCAGGCAAACATGATGATGTGCTTCTTTGTGAGGGAAAAAAAAAAGGAGGGGGATGCCTGGGTGTCTGAGTAGCTTAAGCATCTGACTCTTGATATCAGCTCAGGTCATGATCTCATGGTGGTGAGATCAAGCCCCCAGCTGGGCTCAGAGTTGAGGGTGGAGCCTGCTTGGGATTCTCTTTCTCCTTCTGTCCCTCCTTTCCCAAAATAAATAAATAAACATTTTTTAATGGTCATATGAAATAAATTTCACAGTCTACCGTGCAAAAAAATTTTTACTCACAGCATATCAATAACAAAAATCAAAGGTAGTAATGCAGAAAGAAAGAAAGAAAGAAAGAAAGAAAGAAAGAAAGAAAGAAAGAAAGAAAGAGAAAGAAAGAAAAGGTAGTTTATAAAACTACCTAATGTCCCATTTTTTGGTCAAATACAGTATGTATCAAATGAGGAAATCTGAACATTACAAAAGTGTTGACTGTGCTTAGTTCTAGGTGGCAGAATAATAGAGGATCTTTATTCTTTAGACTTGAGCAGAAGCTATGTTACTTTTCTAGTCATTTTTTTAAAGCAAATTCAACAGTTAAGTACAAGAACCTGTCTTCAACCAGCATGTTTTCCATTATTTTATCATTTACTGAAATCTAAAGAAAGGATTAACAACATAATTAGTTTATTAATAAATATAACATTATAGTAGTTCAGGAGAACATTTCTTTAGCTCTATGCAAGAAAGTTTAATTAAGTAAATTAGGTTAATAATTCAATGATATTATAGATATCAACCACAAAGAGATTAAATAATTTGCTCCAAAATAATGTTGGCCCAAATATACAATAATGTATAAACAAAGGTATTCATTTTCAACTTATGTATAACAGAGAAAAGTAGGAAACCTAATATCTACCAACAGAATATTAGTTAAAAAACTAAGGTACAGGGCTCGCTTCGGCAGCACATATACTTAAATTGGAGCAATACAGACAAGATTAACATGGCCCCTGCATGAGGATAACACGCAAATTCGTGAAGCATTCCATAATTTTTGTTGGGATGAGCACTGGGTGTTATATGGAAACCAACTTGACGCTAAACTATGAAAGAAAAAAAAAAAACTAAGGTACAAGGATGTCTGGATAGCTCAATTGGTTAAGTATCTGACTCCTGATTTCAGCTCAGGTCATGATCTCCTGGTCATTCATGAGATAAGCCCCACCTCAGGCATAGAGTCTGGTTAAGATTTTTTCTTTCATTGGGTTTCTTTCGTTGCCTGGTGGCTTAGTTGGTTAAACATCTGACTTCAAGTCAGGTAATGATCTCATGGTGTGAGTTGAGCCCCAAGTTGGGCTCCGTGCTGACAGCTCAGAGCCTGGAGCCTGCTTAGGATTCTATGTCTCCCTCTCTGTGCCCCTCCCTTGTTCATTCTCTGTCTCTCAAGAATGAATAAATATTAAAAAAAAAAAAAAAGATTCTCTTGCTGTCTCTTAAAAAAGTAAGGTACATTCATACAACAGAACACAGCTCTTAGAAAAGAATAAGGTAGACCGATACACACTGACACAGAGAGATGTTCAGTATGTTTTGTTAAGAGATAAAACTAGCTTCATCATTCTGATACCTAAAGAATAATTCTTTAATGTTCATTAAATCAGTATTCTTTATTTTATCCATTGCTATACTCTTTGAATATACTATTTTATAATAGCTTAATGTTTATAACTTAATTACCTGGGGCACTGGGGTGGCTCAGTCAATGGAGTGTCCGACTCTTGATTTCAGCTAGGGTAGTGAGATAGAACCCTGAATGAGTTGAACATGAAACCTGCTTAAGATTCTCTCTCTCCCTCTGCCCCTCTTCCCAACTCACTTTCTCTCTCTCACTCTCTAAAATAAAGTTTATTAAAAAAAAATCACCCAATGATGTGCAACCATTGAGAAACATAATGAAATATTTGTGTAGGAAACCTTGAATCCTTCAAAACTATATCCAGTGTTCCTTTCCTGTGTTCCCATTGTACAGTGCTGTGATTACCTCTTTGATTAATTATCTATCCATTCCTGCTTCTACCTTGAGCCTTAAAAGGTCTCCAGGAACTTCCTTAACATTTCTCCTACACTTATTATACTAGATTGTAATTTCCAGTTTTCTTACCTATTTCTATCACTGAACTCAAAACATCCTGGAAGCAGAAACTGTATCTTTTCCTTCTTTATTCATAGCTACTAGCAAAGTTTCAGCCCCAGTATAAAGTCTCCAATATTTGTTCAATGTACCACTTCCCCACCTTTAGTCTTTGTTTTAGCCCCATACTAACTGCAGTACTCAGAATTTCCCGTGTTCTTGAACATTCTATGAAAATATTATTCCCTTTAACTGTATTGCCTCTCTCCTCCTCCCCACTCTCTCTTTGCAAATTCTTATTGTTTATGCCTGGAACCCCTGTTCAAATAACACTCAGGTAAACCACAATCAGGTAAAACTCAGAACTTCCTTCTCTGGGCTCACACATGGATTTACACTCACTTGTATTACTATTTGTTCTCCTGTGCATCCCCCTTTCTAGATGGTGAGACCCTGGTCAGGGACGTTATTCCATTCATTCGCTGTCCCTAAAACAATGCTCAACCCATAAAAGGTCTTCAATAAATATAACTGGCAGGACAGATGACCGAAGCATCCATACCCTACTCAGCTTCTGTTCCCATGCATCTGCACAGCCTGACCTGTTTGAGGTCACCGCCTAGGTGCAGAGGTCCTCTCTTATTTTCTGTTGACTACAGATTGTGGTCTGGCTATTGCACTCTTGTGATTCACAGACAGTCTGAGTTGAGGCTCAACTACCTAACTTGGAAAAAATCAGAAACTCAACAAAGGTTTTCTCTTTGGTATCATTAAAAAAAAAAAATTTTTTTTTGCATGCTCCTCTTTCTGCCTAGCACGTTTCACAGTTTTGTACTGATGTGTTTAATGGGTCCCTCTTCTCACTGGGTTTCATAAGGCAAGAACCCATTGCCTGTTTTGTTTCCTGCTGTGTCTCCAACACCTGGCACAAAACTAGGCACAGGGTAAGTTATCCATAAATACTACCTTGATGAAGGAAGGACTGGTTAATGAAAATAAAAACATTTTCTAAATTGTTTTTTAAATTTTATTATTTATTTATTTAAGTAATTTCTACATCCTACATGGGGCTTGAACTCATGACCCCAAGATCAAGAGTTGCATGGTCTTCTTTTTTCTATTGTTTTTTGAGACAGAGAGAGCATGAGTAGGGGAGGGGCAAAGCAAAGAGAGAGGGAAAGAGAGAATCCCAAGCAGGCTCTTCATTGTCAGCACAGAGCCCAACATGGGGCTCAAACTCATGAGCCATGAGATTATGACCTGAACTGAAGTTGGAAGCCAGGCACCCCAAGAGTTGGATGCTCTTCTGACTGAGCCAGACAAGCACCCCTCCCCAAAACATAAAAACATTTTTAAGAGGAATGTTACAGAAACAACCCTGCTCTATAAGAAATAAAATTTTTTAAATAAAAAAGTTAATAAATGAAAAATGATTCAGTATAATTTTAATTTTTAAAAGATCCCATCCTTAATTATGTTAACACCTAATAATAAATTGGAACAATAAATTTGGTGTTAATTCATTTTAGTTTTTTAAGTATAGAAATAGAATGTTGTTGAAAGCTTGACAGATAAGGAAGAGTATAAACAAATGAAAATTACCTATAATCCACCCCCCAGATATAATGACCCTTAAAAAGTAATGCCATTTCTATCAAGTATTTGTTCTTTACATGTTATATCTTTGTGTCATAGTATATATACTTTTTAAAATGTTTATTTTTTTTGAAAGAGAGAGGGGGAGAGAATTCCAAACAGGCTCCACACCCTGCACAGAGCCTGAAGCACGGGGCTCCATCTCACCACCATGAGATCACAATCTGAGTCAATATCAAGAGCCGGACACTTAATTGAGTCAGCCTGGCACCCCATATATAGTTTTGTATCAATTTATTATTTTGTATGTTATAAAATTCCCCATATTTTAAAAAGTCTTCATTTTGTCTCTGTCCCATTTTAAAGACTAATGTAAGATTTTATTTCCTAATTTAAAACATTTGATACTAGTTCTATGATCTCTTTGTTTTTAATGCAATGAGGATGATTACTATTTTTGAGCAACTTTTGTGATCTTCTTACCATCAGAAAATACTCCTGATTCTATTAAGGTTTCATCTGTGATTATAAATTTAAATTCAAGATTTTCTCCCTTTTGATGAGTTTTTTAAATTTCACATAGGACTGGGGCACATGGGTGGCTCAGTCAGTTAAGCGTCCCGACTTTGGCTCAGGTCATGATCTCACGGTTCTTGGGTTTAAGCCCCGGGTCGGGCTCTGTGCTGACACCCAGCTCAGATCCTGGAGCCTGTTTCAGATTCTGTGTCTCCCTCTCTCTCTGACCCTCCCCTATTCATGGGCTCTCTCTCTCTCTCTCTCTCTCAGAAATTAAAAAAATAAACATTAAAAAAACATTTAAATTTCACATAGGACTGACCCTGGAAATTTGATACTTACTTCTTAAACAAAGCAGATACATAGGTTGACAAATACTCCTCCAGGCTTCATTTATGGTTGGCCCAGTTTCCCTAACTGGCACGTCCATGTCTGTGCTCCTCCCTCTGTACCAGGAGGTATGGAGGAACACCATTAGCATGAGCACAAATTTTTCACAAAAATTGTAAAATGTTCTCTCCTAATATGTCACTTCCAAAACACAGTCTCCTCTTATACAGCTTTCACACTTTTAAACCTACAGCTGGAATATAAGCATGTAAATGGTTGTAGATAAGGTGAAAAACACCTATATCTATTTCAATATGTTGTATCCTTCATCATCTCTGGAAATGGAATACAACAAACCCTGGAGGTGTAATTGCCCCTATCGCCCCACCTTGTCATGAATTGTGCAATCTGAGGAGAAACTGAATCCAGACTGGTTTACTTTGCTACCTCTCAATTCTAGGTACAATAAACATGTGGGATACTGCTTTGGAATATTTTGCATGGTCAGATTTCCCTAGTATTTATCCTGTTAGGTTTCCAAGTTCATTTTTAGGTAGTATCCTCCCCTTTTGACTCTGAACACCCATTTTATGAAAGGAAATGCATCATGTACATCAGAAACTTTATTGAATTAGAAACTTTATTGAATCAGTCAGTAGCTTCCCAAGTGCAACTGAGTAGCAGCCCTTCCAAACCATTTTACTTAAATGCATTAAGTACTATTACACTGAGTCTGATTACCTAATTAGCATATAAAGACAAAAGCTAAATGACACGATCAAAAGCCAATCAAAGTATATCATATATGGAAGTAAAATCTGAAAAGTTCTTGTTTTGATACCTTAGTAAGCCTTTAAATTTCAGGATTAGAGTAATCATAAATCACTTCAACTTTACTGAGACCAAAAACTGTGCTCACACTAACTGGCTTTTATTAAAATTCATAGGAAGTAAAGTGGTGGAGCTCCTGGGTGGCTGTCAGTTGAGCATCCTACTTCAGCACAGGTTGTAATCTCATGGTTCATGGAGCCACATCAGGCTCACTGCTGTCAGCATGGAGCCCACTTTGGATCCTCTGTCCCCCTCTTTCTCTGCCCCTCCCTGGTTCATTCTCTATCTCTCAAAAATAAATAAACATTAAAAATAATAATAATAGGGGCACCTGGATGGCTCAGTAGTTTAAACGTGCGACTTCAGCTCAGGTCATAATCTTATGGTCCGTGAGTTTGAGCACTGAGTTGGGCTCTGTGCTGACAGCTCAGAGCCTAGAACCTGCTTAGAATTCTGTCTCCCTCACTCTCTGCCCTTCCCCCACTCACATTTTGTCTCTTTCCCTCCATCTCTCTATCTCCAAAAAATATATACATTAAAAAAATCTTTTTAATAATACTAAATAAAGTGGTAATGGTTTATATAATGAAGGCATATTTGATTATACTTTAACCTTTGTCTTCCTTTTAATTATGAAAATATAAGCTTGTT